TCTTCCTCTGTCCCTCTATGGGCAGTGTAATTCTCCCATCCACACTGGCTGCTTTTCATAATTTCCTTTTTGTATTATGCATCAGAAGTTTCACTATCCTGTACCTTCATAGTTTTCTTTATATGTATATTTTAGGTTTTGTAAATTAAATTTGAAATTTTTAATATATTTTTCTGATTGGTTCACTTTCTTTTCTTCTTCTGAAACTCAACTACACATGTATAAAATTGTTAATGTATTCCACAGACCACTGATGCCTCCTTCCTTCATTTTAATTTCTGTTTCTATTTGAATGGTTCCCATTTATGTTAACCTCCGGGATCCACTCTTGAGCGTCTAGTTTACTGTTAATTCTAACCAGTAAATACTTTAATTTTAGATACTGTAATTTTCAGTTCTTAGATTTCCATTTGTTTTTATATTCTTTGTATTACATTTTCCAAATCATTCTCCCCCCTTTCTTTACCTCCTTTGATCATATTTTCTTGTATATTCAGTTAGACATGTTTAAATCCTCCCATGATGATTCTAAACTCTGGATTGTTTGTAGATCTATTTCTACTTACTAATTTTCCTATTGACCTTAGTTCATATCTTTGGATTTTGTTATATTTCTCTAGAACGTGAAGCTTTCATGCTCGGTACTGTCCTCCTTCCCCTCCTCCTTGTGGTCTATTTTCCCTTAATCCTGATGAAGAGTATTTCCTGGTAGAGCAGAGACCTCCTGGAATTTCAGTGGAAATCCTGAGGCGTTCACTGAGTCTTCTTAATTTAATGGGATTTAAACCCTGTCCCCTTGTAATGCTGCAGCAGCTGAAGCCTCTACAAATTTTTGCAGCCTTAAATTATTTTTTTATCCTAGAAACCTTTAGTGTTGTGATTATTTCTGAAGTTATCCAACAATTCAGAGGGACCTAATGTTTCTAACTATTGTCTCTATTGCCCTCTTCTAGAGTTGTATGCCTCTTTGTCAGGGCAGTCCCAAAATCTGTTCTGGGCTTAGACAATAAAGACTGGAGATTTTGCTTGTAGCATTTAGAATACAAAGCCTTCAGGGAAGAGTAACTCAAACACAAAGTCTTGCTTGGGGTGATTCCTGAAGAGTTATTCTTCTTCCAGTTTCTGCCAGCTTTTGGTCACACTCAGTGCCTTCAGATCAACCAATCAATCTGTCTGTCTAGTCAGGCTCTGTCTCTCTGTCTGTCTCTCTCTCTCTCTCTCTCTCTCTCTCTCTCTCTCTCTCTCCCCCCTCCTCCTCTTGCTCCTCCCCTTCCTCCTCCTGCTCCTCCTCTTCCTGTGTGTTTCTTTCTCTGTGCGTTTCCAGTGCACGTACCTTTAACAGACGCTTTCTAGTTAGTTATCCCTAGAGGTTTATCTGTTTTATACTGTTCTTCCATTACGAGAAGTAGAATTCGCCTCAAAATAGACGTGTAGCATAGAAAGAAGTAAATCTTATCTCCGAGCACTAAGATTTCTTTTGACCAGGGGTATTCCTGCGCCTATGTAATCTGACTTATGCACACCCACCAGCTTGGGTGAGGCCATCGCTGAGCTCTTCCATGGGAATGGTTCATAGTGTCCCCTACTCTGCCTATCTACAAAATAACTTTCAGACTAATATTTCTAAACCGCAGCTCTGGACCTGGCACTCTGTCAGCAGGGCTCAGCAGTGACATTCCAGTGTCTTAAGAATGAGATCCGAGTTCCTTGGTTTGTCATTCAAGACCGCCAACTCTCTGGTCCTTAGCATCCCAGCTGCCTGCCCTATGGTAGTGTTTATAGAGGAAATCATTTACCAAACGAAACCGAAGCTGTGGCTTCTTGTGGGATACCTCTCTCAATAATGGGAGAACGTGATGCTGAAACACCACGACCAGACGTTTCCGTCTTCTGGGCGCATTCTCACTCTTCGTGTTCTATTCTTACTGTTTTCAAGAGATGAGACACATGCTATGTATTTGGGAAAGTAAAATTGAAATCTGGGGGCCAGGGAGATGGCTCAGTGGAATAAGTGCTGCCCTGGCAAGCGCAAGGGCCTGAGTTCAATCCCTGGTTCTGAAAAATAAATAAATAAATAAATAAAATAAACATAAATAAAAATGATATCTTTAATGTTGATATCAAAATAAGAACGACATAATTGTCAGACATCTATTACAAGAGTTCTAGCTCTCTCTCACAATTCTTATATCCTGTCTGGAGGAGGGAATGAATGCTGAACTGGGAAGAAAATCATTCTAAAACTGTTGCAGTAATACAGATTTTGAAGGATATTCATTATAAAAATGATGCCTACAGAATAATCCCAGCCTTTTCATGTCCATATTTTTGAGTGCCCAGAGGGGAAAAAATCACCTAGCATGTACCTAACATAGAGAAAAAATTTTGAGACAATCTTGTATGCTTGGAGCCTGAAAGATGTGTATATGGAGATTGCTAATTCACAGAAGTGGAGAGGGCCTTACGCTACACCAGACTAATCCCTCATGCAGGGCTTTTGGGGCTTTGTTCACAGAAGAGGTTTCCATAGATACTTGGGGAATGAAATAAATTAAAATTGCATTCAGTTATTTCTTTTGACTTAAAGGTTTATTAAAATTATTGTCAGTTACAGAATAAATCTGTAGCTTAGTATTCAGTCTTACGGCATGCAAAAGACATGTACCGCTGGTCACCACTGGAAATTCTGCCTGGTAAAGTAGGTGTGCGTCACTAAAAGAACATCCCTTTGCTTGTTATTTCCAAAAAGCACTTTCAGTACCCTGTGAGACAACCAGTAAATTACACTGCAGGTTGCTCTTTAGGAAATCCCGGTGGGTGTGAGTTATAGCCATCTTATCAGACCTTTGGAATTCTGCTTCCATTTCTACCATTTTGGAAAGTCTGTTTAACAATTCTAGCATGAGTTTCCTCTTGGGAACAATAGCAGTAGCAGTAATTGCCTCACGGATGTTGTAGAGTTATTCTAAGGCTTGAATGTGATAGAACTCTAATAGGGCTTAAAATTTTTACTGTAAAGGTGGAAACGCTAAAATGTTATATAGCATCATGAAATATGACATTAACCAGTTACTGTTTTGTGTATCAATTGCCTGTGTGTGATTACCTACACCTACCTATATTCATTAAGAACTTTCAGTTTTTTTAAAAAAAAACACATTGTTACTATAATGATAGGGTTTAATTTCTTTATTTCAGTAGATCTCCCTATTTTATTACTGATGTTCTGCTGTTATTACTGAGATTTACTACAATGTTACAGAGGATGTGCTCTAAATTGTTTAATAACATTGATTGATGCCCATTGTTTTTATGGGCTATTCTCTGTAATTAGTAATTCTCAGCCAAGGGATCGTGCTGAACCTGGGCCAAGCGGGGTTGGGGTGGGGGCATAGCTTGCTCACTCAGTTATACCAGTCTCTCTCATTTGCATTCACTCAGTGATCCATGACTCGGTCCCAAGGCCCTCTTCTCTTTGCAGTCTACATTCACCTCCCAGGTGACCACACCCCATCCCATGACTCACACTAGAAACCACAAGCTGACTGCATTTCTGGGTCATGCATCACCCTCACTCCGGGCTGAGTATCTGATGCCGAAATCTGTAGCCTTCACAAGTCACGTTCAAGACTGATCTGGGTAATTGCCCGCAAACCACAAACTCTTACCACCTTCCCCATTTTTAACTCATTGCAGTTCCATTTTTCTAGTGGTTCAACCCACGTATCTTGTTGTCTCTTTCATTTCCTTTTTCTCCTTTTAGCAAATCCTGGCAGCCTACCTTCTGAGTATGTCTAGGGTTTCACCAAATCTCACCATCATGCTGGCCCAACCCACTTTCATCTTTCCCCTCTTCCAATAAGCAGTCCATGCCCCTCGCTTCTCTGCTGCAATCCTTAGTCGACCACCATTGCTTTTCAACAGGGGAGCTCTGGTGGTCCTATTCAGTCCAAACCATAGCCAGTGGTTCCTGTGCTCCAGGCCCACCAGCCTAGTGGCTTCCCCTCTCACTCAGAGGAACAGCCAGACTCTGCACTGTGACCTTGAAGGTCCTACTATCTGCATCACGTTATCTCAGCATCGCCATCTCTCCTCACTCTCCACTCATTCTCTTCTGCTCATTCATGCCAGTGTCCTTATTATTCCTAAAAGTGGCTAAATATCTCCCAGCTTGTACCCTACCTCATATCTTTTCCCTCTGCCTGGTATATTTTTTGCCACAGATGACCACAGAGTTAGATTGAAGGACCTTTAGACTTTTGTATAAAAACAATCACCTTCCTGCCTCCCCATACACATAAAATTACAGAATTTGGTGTTAACTCTGGGCAGTGTGCTCCTTTCCTTCATTTTTCTCCCTGGTGCTTAATTACTGTCTAACCTTTTCTACAATTTTGTCTATTGTCTATCTCTGCTAGTTGAATGAAAGTTAACAAGAGCAGATATTGGACCTGTGTTCATTGTTAGATCTACTAGTAGTACCTAATTCTTAGTAGAGGTCCAGTTAATAATTTTGAATAAAGGAAGAGTAGATGTCGGCTACAGTTTTATATTCTGCCAGTAGATGCTACTGTCTAAGCATGCTGAGCCCACACCATGTGGAAAGGCTTCCTGGTGAAGTCACATGGATCAGTAGTACGTAGGCACTGCAGCCTAAAGCGCTGAAGGAGGGCCTTTGCTTGAATTAATTATAGCATCTGAAGCATATTTGCACTATTGTCTGATCCATACAGGTGTCAGTAAAACTAACACAATGGCGGAGGAGGCTCTCCTAGGAGAATGTGTTTGGAAATCAGCACGTCATTGTCATAGGTACACTGGCTTCTCACTGAGTGAACCACCTGCTTGTCCATTTTACCCAAAAGTCACATTCATCGTCTTCTGTTTTAAGGAAGAGATTTCAAAGTCCGAAGCTGGGTGTTTCAAGTCCTCGTTATACTTATCAATATCTTATACTAGTGTGATTGTCATTTTAACAGTTGTTTCTATTCTTCAATCAGGGCAACACAACTATTTATGTGCTGGAAGAAATGACTGCATTATTGATAAGATTCGGCGAAAGAACTGTCCAGCCTGCCGACTTCAGAAATGTCTTCAAGCTGGAATGAACTTAGGAGGTGAGTTTTGTAGTTTTACTTTTATAAAAAAAAATGTTAATAGGAACTATAGCACCATTTGGACCTACGTATTCTCAAAAATGGAGATGGAAAAAAAAAATAAAATGGAGATGAAGTAACATAATACGAAGGTTTAAAAAAACATATAATAATTCCTATTTTCATGCCAGGACATTGCAGGAGAAAAGTACTTCTTAGTTGGAATTTAACGATGTGTTGTATGGCAATAGGGCCTGTGAATTTTTCAAGCCTGAGTTTGCAAAGTTTGAAGAACTGGGCATTCAACCAAAACCAAAATAAAAATGAACAACTTTTCACATAAAACTGTGGCTGACAGTTTTTATTGCCTATCTATTGAGAAATAAGACCAAGATATGTTACTATTAAGCAGACAGGGATATATTTTGAACTCACAGCATGACCTTTCTGAAAAAGACCTTAAGATATTACCCAGACTCACTATGAGAGAGAGAGAAGCTAAAAGACCAGAGCCAAGTGTGACGGCATACAGTGTTCATAAGTGGGAAGTACTGAGTGTGAGTATACCCTAAATTAATTTACAAACATAACCCAACCCTAAGAAAATGCCAATTGATTATGCCAAGCTCCTACAGAATAATCAGAAAATTCTGGAAAAGACAGATAATACAAGGAACTAGTCCTACCAGACATAAAACATGCTATACAGCTTCTAGAATTAAAATAGTTTGCAGCATATGCTTGATCTTCAGACAACTCAACAGGAAATCAATAAATAGATCCAAATAATACAGGAATTTTTATAGGATAAAGCTGGCATTTCCGATCAGGAGGGTAAAGGATAAATTATTCAATAACATTGTATTGTGACAACCGCATCACCATCTGGAATCAGAAAGTTGCAGCTAATTCTTACTGTACACCGGAATACATTATGAGCTTCAGAGATTTGAACTTTTGAAAAACAGTCACAGAAGTACTAAAAGAAAATATAAATTTTTAAGTAACTCTGAGAAGACTTTTCCAAATGTGAAATCAACCAACAATAAAAAAGTAGAGAAAATTCATCACTATTTACAAATCAGATATTGTTGTGTGCATAATAGGAACCTGGAGAGAACTACTTGCAACTTGCAGACAAAGGTTAATTTTCTTGTAAAGGGCTCCTGCAAGAAAAAGAAGCCAAGTCATTAGAAAAATGGGTAAAGACGATAAAAACAGTGAACAGTCATTCACCGATTAAAAAATACAACTGATTCTTGAAAAATATCTTAAGCTAATTATACTAAGAAAAATCTAAAATGTATTGAGATATATATATATATATATATATC